TTGCTGGAGGTATTCGGGGGCTGTTTGAAGGTTCCGTGTCCATGCACGAACATGCATGTAGCCTGCTGGCTCCCAAGCTCGCACGTGCAAAAGAGCAACACAATCATGCAGCCCAACTGGCTCCGTCTTGTCATGCCAAACAAAACAACAACCAAAACACATGGCTGCAACTGCAACACACTAAATCCAGTCGAGTTTCTGTGGCTCGCCGTAGCCATAGAACATCATGGCCATGCAGGTCTCGCCAGCATCTCCAGGAAACCACTGCCAGAACAGGTCCTGCTTGCAGCTGCTCATTCTCTCCTCGTCGTAGAGGTCAGCAAAGCTATCTGCAGCAGTCGGAGCCGGCGGCGGCTGGGGAACATCAGCAGGTGCAGCTGTCGGCACAGCAGGAGGCACCGGAACATCAGCAGGTGCAGCTGTCGCCACAGCAGGAGGCACCACAGGAGGTGGCGGTGTCGGCACCGGTGCTGCAGCCATTGCATCCGAAGAGGAGCCGGCCATCCTTAAATAGTATGTAATGTATGATGCATGCATGATGCACACGTATGCAGCATGCATGCGATGCTCACCTGCAAGTTCTGCCTTGAGCAGCTTCCCGGCTGCCTGTGCATACACAAACATGAGTTCCATGCTGCGTGCACAGCCACTCACTCAATCAGGCACTCCAACCTGCTGCTCTGCATGCTTCTGGCAAACAACACTGGCGAACAAACTGCACTCAATGTGGGCTGCCTGCACTGTCTGCATGCTGCACTACACTCTTGTATTTTTTGCTCGAAGAGCCATTGCACTCCACAGCAATCAGGAAGGGCTGCCTGTGGGCCCGGAAGAGGCTCCCCCTATACAGCAGACGTGCAATCGCCCCTGCACTCGACCAGGAAGAAGTTTGCATGCTCTGTATGTATATATATATATGTGCACATGCAATGCAAGTCTCCTATATATAGTGCATGTTACATGATGCATTTGCATCGAGTAGCAAGAGGATTGCAAAAACACACCAGGGGTGCCCAGCTGCTAGCAGCATCAGACTAGAAGTCATACTGCTCGTCGAAGCCCTGGTCCGTGACCCTCTGTACGTGGTTCTCCAGTAGATCCTTGAACTGCTTGTCGCCCGTGCAGAACCTGAGATAATCATTTCGAGGTTTGGTTTGCTGATGTGGGTTCAGGGTTTGGGGTTCAGGGTTAGGGGTTGTGGGTTTAGGGTGTGTGGGTGTGTATCCACGGTTCATTATCCTTTCTAGGGTGTATGTATGTTGCCGGCTCTTGGCTCGGCCAGGTTGCCGGCTATATGGGTTCCATATAGGGAAAACAAGACCTCTATGCGCTTTTATTCCTGCCCTCTAGGTGTATCGGAGACTAAAGACCTAGGTTTATCTAGGAATCCGAATCTGAAGCTTATGGGTTCCTTGCACCGGGAAACACACTGTTATAGGGCTTGGTGGTTTGGGAAGTTGACGTGCTGTTGCTTTGGCTTTTGGGGCTCATGTGCACAACCGGCAACACCATGGTTTCGGAAAGGCACTTGTCCACCAGGTAGTTCAGCCTGTCCTGGTCGTTCATGATCACTGCCTGGGCTGGGCCACTGCATTGCAAGCTGTTTCATACATTTTTGCACGAAACGTGTTCGTGCATATGTAGCTATATAGCTCCCATCAACCAACATGAAGCCTGCATGCATGCTTTCAAGTCGCCTGGGTTTTGTATTCACATGAATGCAACCCATGTACATGCATGTGTTCATATGGCATGAATGCAACCATGCACATGAATGCAACCCATGCATTGTGTTCACATGACATGAATGCAAGCCATGCATGCAACTGTGCACCAAAGCTGCTCCAGCCATGGCCACCGCTTTGGGCTTCCACCCACCATGGTGACTCTGCCAGGAACCCACGAGGCCTCGCGAGCCCTTTTCACCACCTGCTGGAGGACGTGGTGGTGCCGGTGGGGACGGTCCCATAGGCCGTGGTGCCGGCGGAGGGTTCACCTCCGAAAACCCGGGTTTACATATAGGGTTTATGGGGTTTTACAAAAATTGAGAGTTTTGGGTTGATACCAAATGTTTCGATATCATCCTGGCCTCGCCCACTCGCCTCCTCTTGGATGCATCTTGAAGCTCCAGCTGCAGCGACTCATTGTGCAGCTTCACCTGCTGCAGCTCATCCTCCAAGACTTTCTTCTTGAAGAGCAGCTCCTGTATGCACTCTTTCATAAAGGTGCAAGCCCCCTGGCCTCGTACTCGCACGATTCCCGAGCGACCACGATTCCACCATGGCGAAAAGACCGATCCCACTGGTCTTCGCCGTTCACCGCCACCCTCGATGCTGCACACCACTTCCACACCATCCCAACAGCCGGCAACTGACTCATCGGCGATGTGGTCGGCGACGAGGTAGGACCCGGTCTGGTTCGACCAGAACATATACCAGTGAGACCCGGGCTTCTTGAGAATCAAGCCATCATTGACCTCGACGTTCTGCAGCACCCAAGGGCCAACCAGAATGTCGAGGACATTCCTTGGCTGATGCACAGGACCATGCAACATGTCATGCCATGCCATGCATGCATGCATGCAGCCCAACTGGCTCAGCAACAAACAACAAGCAGCCCAACTGGCTCTATATATAGTACATGTGAATATGCATGGGGTGAGCACACGGTGTTCAAGAACATGCAACAAGTAGCCGAACCGGCTCCACAAGAAGTTGCCAATTGAACCACACGTGGCAAGAAGCTTGTTTTGTCCCGTCGACACGAACCCCTGCAGCCGACAGGTTCAAAGCAGGCAATCCTTGCATGCCCTGCTTTTCGGAAAACTATTTCTTCTGCTTGGCAAATTTACCAGTAGCATGATAGCCCCTCCGGCTGGAACAAGCACATGAATCACAATCCTCAGCCAAATACTCTATAAGATTAACCATGTCTGGCTCCTGCAACAACACAGCCGGAGAGGACTTCAGTGAAGACATCATGAAACGTGCTTCTTTGCCATTCGGCAAAGTGACAGTTTTGATTGTGCAAGGCAAGACTGCACTAAGCTTTCTTTTCTTGCTGGCCTTCTGTGGCTCCTTGTTGTCGTCGAACAAGTCGGGTCCTGCATCCTTGGTCTGCTTGGGGCTGAACTCTTTGCAGAGCAACTCTAGCAAGGTCTTCAAGTTGGCACTGCCGGCGATGGACATGTTCTTGGTAGCCATAGATGTGCAAGGGCAAACTAGTTTGCAAATTGAACGGTGGCTGCCAATGATCTTCACGAAGTGCTGCTCGCCATCTTGCACAACCAAGTCGGACGGCAAGGTGATCACATGCCCCTTGTGTTTCACCTGAAAAATCTTCTCGATGGAGAACTCGTTGTCAGGCGACTCAGCATCCGACATGGTGCTCTCACAAATCAAGCTTTACTATCTGGCTACTGTCAGCAGAAGATGCTTCATGCAAATTGCAATCAATGCTGGCATGCCATGCTATATGATGTGCACGTGCAATCCATGTCTGCATCCACACAAGTCGCTAAGCAGCCTTCAAACTTTTGTCAAGCATTCTGAAATGCATAGCTCAATCCATGGAGCAAAATTTGCAGTTCGATCCTGCAACCACATGGTGCTTCTATATACAGCTTATAGC